CCTACTTGCCCCAATATCGAACAAGGAAATTAAAGATGCCTTGTTTGACATTGGAGATGATAAGGCACCGGGGCCGGATGGATATTCATCGGCTTTCTTTAAGGCGAATTGGAGCCTTATTGGGGATGACATTGTCCAAGCAATTAGGGAATTTTTTCATTCGGGAAAGTTGCTCAAACAAATTAACCATACGGTTATAGCACTTATCCCCAAGACTACTCACTCACCTAAAGTTTCGGACTATAGACCAATATCATGTACAAATGTGTTGTATAAAGTCATTACAAAAATTATAGCGGCAAGATTAAACCCATGTCTCTCGGGTTTAATTAACCAAGCACAAGGTGCTTTCGTAGACGGCCGCCTAATGTTTGATAACATATTCCTTGCCCAGGAACTTGTTAGAGGATACAATAGGAAGCGAATTTCACCAAGATGTATGATTATGGTGGATTTGCGCAAGGCCTATGACACCATTTCGTGGAATTTTCTTGAAAATGTCCTAAAGGGGTTGGGCTTCCCTTCTAGGTTTGTTGGTTGGATAATTGAATGTGTGTCAACAGCTTCCTTCTCGGTTTCCTTGAATGGGTCGTTACATGGTTTTTTCAAAGGAAAAAGAGGCATAAGGCAAGGAGATCCAATGTCTCCATTATTATTTGTCTTATGCCTCGAATATTTTTCCCGGTTGCTCACCATGAGAACCAAGGAGGCAAACTTTAATTACCATCCGCTTTGTGCGTCACTCGGTATTACTCACTTGGCCTATGCAGATGACCTTATGCTCTTTTCGAGGGGTGATACGTATTCTGTAGAAATATTAGTTAACACCCTTAAAGAGTTTGGAGATGTATCGGGCCTTAGAGTAAATCACGGGAAATCGAACATTTTTGTGGGGGGTGTGCGAGACCTTGAATTGCAGAGCTTGTTGGACCTCGTCGACTTTGGGCAAGGGACATTCCCGGTTAGATACCTTGGGATCCCTCTTGCCCCCCTTAGGGTATCAGTTGCCCAATATGCACCGTTACTTGACACGGTCAGTGATTTCTTAAAGGCATGGAATACGAAAACAATATCCTATGCTGGGAAGTTGGAGCTTATCTTTTTGGCTCCAAGTCTTCCCAGTTCCCCAAACGATTTTGGATAGGATAGTTTCCATATGTAGGATTTTCTTATGGGGTGGCAAGTACGTCAAAGTGGCATGGGATGACATTTGTCTCCCTAAAGAGGAAGGAGGACTTGGCATTCATAATGCTAAGGTTTGGAACGACGCTCTCCTTTCTCGCACACTTTGGGACCTACATAAGAAGAAGGATACCCTTTGGGTTAGGTGGGTTAATGGCGTTTACCTTAAGGGTAAAAGTGTGTGGGAATTCGTCCCACACGGCCGTGACTCACAATTCTTGAAGAGGTTATACCAAATACGTAATAAAATACGTGAGTGTTTTAATAATTTGAACGAAACCATTATGGGCCTTAACGCTAGATCCATTAATGGCAAACTGATTCCGGCCAAGATCTATGAGCTTTTGAGAGTTAAGGGGACTGTTAGGACCCCAATGAGCTTCATTTGGAAATCCTACATTCCACCTAAAATCTCTTTTAATGTTTGGTTGGCACTACGAAATAGGCTACCCACTCAGGATAGCCTCGGGTACCTCCATATTGTGAATCGTTGTGACCTATGCAAGGGTGGATTGGAAACAATTCCACACCTATTTTTTGTTTGCCCATTCACGTGTAGGGTGTGGGAGAGGATCAAAAGCTGGATGGGATTTGGGCATCAAATGAATACATTGCTTAGTGCGATCAAGTGGATTTCGAAGAGCCGCAAAGGAGCAAACTTGAAGGCAAAGGCAGCCCGGCTAGCCTTCTGTGCCACGGCATACTATATATGGCATGCGAGGAACTCTGTTAGATTTGATGAAGGAAAAAATTCGGAAGATGATGTTGTTGCAAAGGTCAAGCATATGGTTTACAAGATACTCTATAGTATCTACCCATATGAGATGATCAACCTTTGAGAAGATTCATGTTTTTTTTTAATGCCACGACATTAGACAGCTTGTAATTTTTTGGGTTGCATGTATTGGCTATTTTGGATTTAGACTAGACTAAAAGCCTCTCCTAACCCTCTCCTTTTCTCACGAAATAGGAGAGGGTGGGGGTTTTAGACTTTAGATTTTTGGACACATTGTACTTGTTAAATTTTGCTTGGGTGTTAATATATATTTACATTTCATCCAAAAAAAAAAATGAAGTACTAGATACCTAATGGTAATGTAGTGATCATGTAAAACTTCGTAAATTGAAAACACTTGGTATATTACTACGTATTTATAGATACATACTTCGTATGCCGCAGTGCCGCACTGTCGCAGTACTGGATACGGTCATACGCACATAATGTAGGTACTTTTGAAAATGTGCCATTCATACATGCTTGATTTTGGGAATATAAATAAAAGTAACGTAACGTAGCAGGCGTTTACAAACGGCATTTCGTTTTTCCTTTCCACCCTGATTTTTCCTTTGTTTTATGCTGCTTTACTCTTTTCATCTTTTTACTTTGCTGCCTCATTATTCATTTCTCAATGCGAGCTACGTTTACCGTTGACCATTTCATGTGTGTTATTTCAAAGAAAGTGTTGGCATTGCCTAGGATACGTTATGATGACCATTTGATACTACAAAAAAACACGAGATTGATCGGACTATTTGACAAAGCATTAACAAAATTGGCAGGAATTTTCACAGAGATATGCCAAATTTGTGCCAAAAACAGTTTGACACAAGCTATGTGACACGAAATTATCGATAAATATGTGTCAAAACCGTGTCAATTCCGCAACTTTTTCGTAGTTGGATTATACTTTAATTTGCGTCCCCGACTCCCTTGGTCTTTCAATTAGTCTGCTTGTGACTAGATTCTGGCTTGCAGTTGTTCTACTAGGTCTCTCATTTTTTGATCGTCAAAACAGATGACTTAAATTGCAATTAAAGCATTCAGATAGGGGGTAAAATGACAAAAGGACCACAGGCAACCGTCAGCCCTCGAACCAGACTTAGAGTCAACCACCTTCAAAAAAGCAATACTAAGTCTCTCATTTGAAAATTCTAATTTGATTTTTATCTAATCTAAGTGATTTTGATCGATCTTATTTCACTTGATGGTGTGTTTCATGCGGGGCGGAGCCAGACTTTAGTAAAAGGGGAGCTGGAATATAATGCAACTATTAAAATGTAAATGGAAATTTGCAATTTTGATCCTGTAAATTTACTCCGTGCACGTTTTTAGTCCTACAACTATATTAACATGCAGATTTGGTCGTGTAACTATTTTTTTATAATTTAAGTACTTCCCCACAGAAAGTACACTTTCTGATATATATATTATATATATATATATATCCAGCCACCTCCTTGTCGTCATTTACTTTTCTTTCTCTATGTGCTGGACTGCTGGCCAGTGGATTATTTCAATTAACTTCTTATCAAACACATAGTTTTTTATTCCGCACGCTAAATTGTGTAATTGTCAAAATAAGTAAGATTAGAATTACTTTTTTGATTGATTTGGTTGAAGTTTCTGTACAAGGTCATTAGCTATATTTTCATATAATTGTTTCTTAATTGGGAAAGTTTCCGAAATAGGACTAAAACAGTTTGAAAATTCCAAAATAGAACTGTCATGTTTTTTATTTTCAAAATAGGAGTAATTACTGTCAAGTTTGGAAAATACTGCCATGTTTGAAGTCTGATACTGCCAAAACATGACACTAATTAGTCCTGTTTTGGGAATAAAAACATGGCAGTCATATTTTGGAATTTTCAAACATTTTTAGTCCTATTTCGGGTAATACCTCTTCTTAATTTTATCAATAAAATATATTTTGAGTATATTTTTTCCACAATTCAGCAGATTCAGCCAAATCAACTTTTTGAACTAAAATTTTATCAATTTCCTCAGATTCAGCTGATTATAGTTCAAAATAGACTCTACAGGTGAAAAACTTCTTAGTTGATGGAGAAAGGAGGAGAAACTGAGCAAAAATTACATAGAAATTGCTCTGAATATATAGGAGTAAAAACGTTTTGAATTTCCAAAATAGGGCCTTCATGTTTTTGTTCCCTATATAGAAGTAATTTTTGTCAAGTTTGAAAAAAACTACGATGTTTAAAGTTTGGTCATGCTAGCAAAAATTACTCATATTTAGGGAATAACAACATGCTAATCAAGCGACGGTCCGATCTCCGCCTGAACCACCACCATGGGTTGTACGAGGTGCTAGAGTCCGTGAAAGTTTTCCTAGTAATTTTTTTCGGTTTGTCATTTGTTTTCTTGTGTTCATCTTTGTTGTAGGTTTTGACAATTTGTTTGAGTTTTTAGTCTCTCTTTATGTCATTGGGTATGGTTGGATCTATGGGAACGGGTTTGGCTGTGTCAAGCGCACTACATGGTTAGTGATTCTTGTTGTTTTTTCAGGGGTGACCGTCTCAAAGTCTCACCATAGGGTTATAGTCGTAGTTGTTGGTGTCAGTTTTATTTTCCCTTTGCTTGATGTAATGATCCTGAATCTTTTGATATGAATAGATGCCTGTTTTGACGATAAAAAAAGTTACTTCCTCCATCCCTTATAACTTTGCCAACTTTCCTTTTTTGGATGTCCCAATAACTTTGCCACTTTCCATTTTAAGTAAAGAATTTGTTGTTCCAGTTAATTCTCTCTCATTTGCACAAACCTCAACCACACAGTTTTTACTTTATTAATCCTCGTGTCGGTCAAACTTGACAAAGTTATTAGGATCGGAGGGAGTACGTTATGTTGGGGAAAAAAGAGAAGACGGTAGAAAAGAAAAAGGAAAGAGACTTTTGTAACGTAAAGAAATTAAGCTAAGAGCAACCCTAAAATTGATGTAGGCTAGCTGCACCCAGCCAGCTAGCATATACCAGCATTTATTTAGTCCAAAAAGTTAAATGTAGAAAACAATGGCTGGGAAATCAGAAATGTTCGTTGACATGCTAGCTATCATATATACATACAGATATATAGCCGGCCTAGCTAGCCTCTTTCTTATTAATCAGGACACAATCTTCATTCTTCACCTACCGATCGACCAATTCCATCTAGCTGCGCTTCAAGCTTGATCGATCAAGCAATTAGGCTAGTATGGCGGCCGAGAAGGCCGAGAAGGCGAAGGTGAGTACGTCGAAGACGGTAGACTTTGGGTGCATATATATCATTATTTGATTACTAAATGTTTTTTCTCTAGACACTTGGCTCTGATATCATGTTAATTTTTGGAGAGTAACTCTAAAATCGTATGTTGGTTTGTATTTTCATACGACTTGATCGACCTGCGATTTGGCCATGGCAGGTGCCGAACAAATTAGTGCTGAAAGTGGACTATGACGGGCCGAGCGAGCTGGTAGAAATGTTCGTAGTTGTGGCGGGATGCGATGGCGTGAAATCGATGGAGGTGGCGAAGATAAAAGACGTGAAACAATTAACAATTACAGGGAGCTTCGAAGGCAGTGAGCAAATCATGAGCATGCTGCGGTGGGGGGAGGGAAACAATTTTTGGTCGTCGTGCTGCGGCGGAGATGCCACTAACTTTAATCCAAGAACTGTGTCCTTTGGTCCGCTCACCGCCAAGAAAGGCGACGGCGGCGACAAGCCAAAGGACAATGCAGACACCAAAAAGGATGACGACAAGAAGAAAGCAGATACTCCTCCTAAGCAAGCTCCCTCCCAGGCAAGTAGTATACTCTATGTGTTAATCTCTAGCTGAGCTCCATCATTTCATAACTTATATAGATATATTGATGCTCTAACTAATACTATCCTCCGTCTCTTTTTAATCGCAACATGTTGAATTTTACACTATTCACATGTCTTACGTTGACTACATTTTATATAATTATTTTATGAAAATTATTTTTTTTTAAAAATATTGTTCAATTCATCTCATTACAAAATTTCAAAATCTAATTTTTAAATATTTTTTACTAATAGAGATTAAGATATAATTACGGTCAAAGATGTGCATTGGCAAGTGTGAAATGTTGACCGTTGCAACTAAAAAAGAACGGAGGAAGTAAGTGTTTTCAATTTAAAAAATACTCCGTAATTTTCTACCGGAAAGTAAACTTTCCAACGGAAAATTTGAGATCGGCCGTGTCTTTTCCGGTATTTTTTTTTTTGCTAGAAAGTGTACTTAATTCATGATAAAGTTGCAAACATCTACTACGCTACTGTTAATTATAGGATCATCTTTGCTAGTGAGTACGTACACTTAAATTATACACAAATTGTCCTGAATAGGAGTAAAAACGTTTTGAAATTCCAAAATAGAAATAACATGTTTTTTATTCCCTACATAGGAGTAATCTGCCAAGTTTGGAAAAAATGTCATATTCAAAGCCTAGTAATGCCATACTTGGCAGAAATTTACTCATATTCAGCGAATAAAAAACATGATAGTCTTATTTTGGAATTTCAAAACGTTTTTACTCCTCTTTAGGACAATTCTCTTCAAGTTTTATTAATGGACATGGTTGTAAGTTACAAGAGTAAAATTACAAACCCCCCTAATATTTATTTATCATATTCAAAATTTTTACGAGGCATCAATATAATTATCGTGTGATTACAAATTATGGGGTTTCTTTATATAATTAAGGCCACTACAGTTCGTATTATATCAGTCAAGTATAAAAAGTCACACTATAATGTACTAAGTACCTTCATTTTTGAGGTGTGAAAAAAAAGTACCTTCATTTTTTAGGTGTCAAAAAATACCTTCATTTTTGTCATGTATGTCATTATTTCTTATAAATATGTAAGTTACAATTGTAATTATGACTAACATATGTATTATGATCGACATCCTAAAAGAATTGATTTTATCATTAGTCAATCGTGCATCATAAACAAACAGGAAATTTTGAAATGGAGTATATAATTAAATGCTTCGTATATTGTCATACTTTCTCACTTTATTAAATAAGTGCAATATCTTAAAATTTACGGTATTCATATGTTTGACTTCATTTTATTTATTAATATATTAACTAATTATTTAAAAAAACATGGTTGAACTTATTTTATTGTTAAATTTCAAAATCTAATTTTTTAGTTTTTTACTAAAAGAGAATTATATATATTAACAACAGATGAAATACTATTATCAAATTAATATTTATACAAACTATTACTATTAATTTTTTTAATATTATATATATATATATATTAGTATTACTAATCACTCCATAAAACTAGAGAATAAAAAATATGTAAGTGGTAAACACAGAATGTGTAAAATGTACTACTGAGTAGTTCTTTATTTTACAATAGGCCTGGACTCGGGCCGGGTCGGGCCCGGGCCGGGCCTAGGCTCGGTCGGGCCTTGGAACCTTGGGAGCAGGCCCGAGCCCGAGCCCGGCCCATGCGGAGGCCGGTGCCGGTTCGGGCCGGGTCTCCTGCCCGGGTCCCGGGTCGGGTCGGGCCTATATTTTGTTTTATTTTTTATTTTTTCCTACTTATTTATACAACTTCAAGGGCATTTATGTGAAATAAGAACTACATTTGAGAATTGAGAACAAAAATACAATATGAAATACTTTTTTAATAAATAATAATATAATTAATTATAAGTTGTAAGTTGTAACCAATTAATTAATTTGAGAAGTTCTACATATAAAAAAAATGAATGTATATTTATTTGAAATATGAACTACAAGTTTACAAATTACAATAGAGAATTGAGGGAAAAATTAAAACATCAAATACATTTTATAATACATTGTAAAATACTAATCAATCGGAATCTCCGGCATAGGAACCACCCTCGGTTGTTGATTCATCCATAAAGTCTTGGGAGGGGGTGATGCTAATTTCTTGAGTTCTACGTATGGCCTTCAACCAATCGTGATATCATATAAGCATTGATAGCGTGATATCAATCGTATGAACTAAATTCTTGTTCCACGGCAACTGTTGAAACCGGCATTGATATCACTTGCTTAGCCATCCGTGCTAAAATCGAGAACATTCTTTCTTTTGACTTCCACCACTTTAGAACGTCAAAGTCATCATTTTCGTCAAATTCTACCTCATAATTTATATACAAAGAAATCTCATTAAGTGCGCTTTGTTCAGTAGTGTGAGTTGTTTTAGTTTTTTTCATAAGATTGCCAAAAGCAGATTTAAAAAGTGATTTTCCTTTAGATGAAGATGTTTGTGTCGGGGGAGGGGGGTGCGTTGCCATATTGTGCATGAAACTCATTAAATAAGACATAAAATAAATTACTAACCTCGTTGTATTCAACTTGCGGATCTATGACGTTATCGTCATACATTGGAAATGAACCAAAAAAGCATGATAATAGAACTTCAAATATTCTTCCAAATTACCAAGTCTAAAACGAGGATCGAGAATAAAAGTAATACCATAACTATAAAATATGTGCATAATATTTTAAAAACTTTTCCTTCATAAAACCACAAAAATAACTCACGTAAGCAGCATTCTCAAATTCATTAAAAGCACCGGCGAGATTAACAACTTCACGAATAAATTCGTTTGAGGTAGGTTTTTAAACATGACTAAAACTTTCAGTTGCATTATTAAAAAATATCAAAACATTACAAATTTTTTCGCAAGTGTCGATGTGAGCGGAGTTTAAAATATAGTTATCATATTGTCTTAAAAGAGCAGGAAAATGTTCTTTATATTTAAGAAGAACTTTAATTAATTTATAAGTACTATTCCAGCGAATAGACAAATCTTTAGGAAAAGCAACATATTTCACACCTCTTTCAATCAAATAATTTTTCCATTTTAATTTAAGTTGACCATTACCCCAAATACGTCTAATCCCCCCCCCTGACTACCTCCATAGCATCCCCTAACGCTTTTAGACCGTCTTGCACACATAAATTTATAACATGGCATGCACATCGTTTACGAAAAAATCTACCCATCAAAGTATTAGAACCACACAATTCACGCAATCTAGGTATAGCAGCACTATTATTACTAGCATTATCAAAACCTATAGCAAACACCTTATCAATCAAATTATACTCATTTAAAATACGTTCAATCAAAAAATAAATATGTTCGGCGGCGTGACGATCATTAAATTCACGAAAAACAAGAACACGTTTATGCAAATTCCAATCATTATCAATAAAATGTGCAGTCAGACCCAAATAATGTAAATTATGATAAGTATCCTCCCAAATGTCAGAACAAATAGTAACACGGCCATTAAAGTTTGCAATTTTTTTTTGTAACCTATCCTTTTCCGCACGATAAAGCCTTATAATTTATTTCTTAACCGTTTTGTGACTATAACCTCTAAATTGAAGATTTAAACAAGTTCGTGCATAATCTTTAAAAGCAAGACTTTCAGAAAACATATAACCTCTAAATTGAGGATTTAAACAAGTTCGTGCATAATATTTAAAAGCAAGACTTTCAGAAAACAAATAAGGCAAATTTTCTTCAACAAGTAAGTTAGCCATACCATTCAAATTTTGTGCATCATTGTTTTGGAAATTACCAAAAGGTTGGTCATTAGCAAACCTCGATATTTGAGTTTGCTTCCCCTTGTCTTTCGATATTTTCGCATACTCCACCAAGTGCGCAAACTTAAGATGCCTTTTGAGGCTCCCGTATCCGCCGGAAGTTCCCAAGCTATACTCCTTATTGCAATGATTGCAACTTACGTATCATTTCTCGGTTGTTTTGTCTTTTTTCTTTGTAAAATTATTTTATATAATAGGAGATTTAGATTTCTTACCAAGTTGGGATGAACCACCTTTGTCCTCCAACTCTTGCTCATCATCCTAGGCGTTGTGACTGCCGCTGCCCCCCCTGTCCTCCTCCGCATCCTCATCCTCAAGCTCGTCTTCGTCAATGGACTCCGGGATGTTTTGTTGATGGAAAAAGCGACCATCATTTTGCGCCAATAGTTATTGTAGTTGCTCGTCGGACATCGCATCACCATCTCGCCTTTGGTATCCCGTTTCAAAATCTTCTCGACTTTGAGAAGAAGACCCGGCTCACCCTTTACCTTTGCCTTTGCGTAAACTAGGATGAGTTGTCGCAATCTCCTTCCTTCGGCTGCGTTGGAGATTACCCATATCTACAGAATGTCTACCACGGTCCATCTTTAAAATGTAACAAATATTATATTATATCAAATGTTTTAATATGAGTACAATAGTAATAATAAAATGTGACTAATAAAATTATAGCAATTTTCCAAGTACTTTAATAAAAATAACAAGTGTATTTAATTTATTAAAATAGGAGTAACGAAATTCGAATACTTGGAGTGTGTTTATTAAAATAACAAGTGTGTTTATTAAAATAGCAAGTAATTTATTAAAATGTAACAATTAACTAGTTTTATACTTTAATGAAAAATGCAACAATTAAAAAATTAACTAATAGGGAAATGAAAAATGTAACAATTAACTAGTTTTGTACTTTAATGTTTATAGTAACAATTAACTAGTTAGTTTTATACTTTAATAAAAAATACAACAATTAACAAATTAACTAATAGGGAAATGAAAAATGTAACAATTAACTAGTTTTATACTTTAATTTTTATAGTAACAATTAACTAGTTCTATAATTTAATGAAAAATGCAACAATTAACAAATTAACTAATAGGGAAATGAAAAATGTAACAATTAACTAGTTTTATACTTTAATATTTATAGTAACAATTAACTAGTTTTATACTTTAATATTTATAGTAACAATTAA